CATGCTGCGAGCCTTCCCCTATGTGCCACACATACTCTGGAATATCACCATTGAGCAAACAGCGCTAAATCCCTCATGAGCCTTGTGGTGGAGGGTTTTATATTACCCAGCTGAGGCAGAACTGGACCACTGAAATATGTCCAAGTTGTACTTACTTACTTACTTATGACTACAGATATTGTTGCAGAATCACAGATAATAATGTCTTTATTAAAAAACCAGAGAGTGTGGCATGAAAATGGAGAAATGTTATGACATTTTGACTCAGAACTTCCCCTCCTGTGAAATGTATCAGAGACCTTAAGTGGTGTTTTTGTGTCCACCCCAGACAAATGGAGTAATATTGCTGAGTTGACGTCATATTGTTTTAGGATTTAAAACCACCACTTATTCTCAACCAAAGACGAGAGAATAATGTGAGTTAGTGTAGTGAAGTGACTATATACACAGACGACAGCTACCTCCTTCCTCTACCTATGGTTCCTACCTGGCTGGAGGTCGCTGACGTCCTCACCTTCATGCTATAAAAACCCTCAGGGATTGTCTTACATACTGTATATGTTGGCTGCAGACGAGCTGAATCAGTGTTTGCTGGACTGGTCGACTCACTCTCTCACCGACTTGCTGGCTGAGAGATTGATTTTTTTGACAGCTTATCAGCATCCATCATCATTCTACCCAGAGGCTGCAGGACACCTGAAGCAAACCCTTATTTTCCTGACGTTTATATATGCAGGTGTGCTGAATGGAGAGGAAGCTGGATGTCTATGCTGGTTTTGTGGCCATGTTTTTTGTGGCTGGTTTTGTTACCATGTTTAGAAAAATGTCCGCTTCGTTCCATTGTTTGCATAAAAAGCTAGATTCAGGAAAGCAAATAGTATAGAAGACAGAGGTGAGGTGGGGACGCAGATGGTGGGTGGAGGCAGCAATATCTAGAGAGGAGTAAACCAACAGGAAGAGAAAGGATGAAGGGGATAGAAGTAACAATGAGGGGTAGCACTAATAACGTTGTAAAGTGACTCAGACATATTTAATGAGAATATCAATACCAGTTTTATCATTCTAGAACATGATAGGCTCACGATATTAACAACATTCAAACATAAACAGATGGTTAAAAGGCGATAAAGGGAAATATTGTGACTTTCTCTTTATGAAATGTTTATTTATGACAGCCTTCCTGATAGTTTAGAAGAATAAAACTCAAAGTCTTTTACATTTGTGACCTACAGTACATTTAAAGTGTGGATCTTGATGACTTCCCATTGTCATGTTTAAGTTCTCAGCAATTACACTTTCAGAGACCAGATATAAAGGCTTCACTTTAGGATTATTACACTGTAAGAAACTGCTGGATGGGGCAAAATATAAATATTTGAAATAAGTAACCAACTAATACTGGAACTGTGAAATTCATAAGAAATGATTAATTATTAAGGTAGGGAGAATGCTCTAGTGGTTGTTTAAATCTCATTGTCGGAAATTAAAGGGGCTTCCCTGTAGTAAGAGGGATGAGGATATTATCTTCACGTCTATTCAATAAACCCCATTTTCAGCAAATTGCTTACTTAACATATCAACATCTTTATTTTCAACCTTAAGTATGTTGGAATATTAGTTACTTACTATTAGTACTTTTAGCAGTAAGACGCAAAACTGCTGCTAAACTCAATACTGAAATTACCTGGTGGTTTTACTGAGAATACTACAAACACTAATGACCTCACAAAAACAGAATCTGTATTACCAGAAGTAAATGCTGACCCATACACATTTTATATAATATTTAATATAAAGGCATTTTGTACACTTCATAGAAAGTTCTTGATGAGGTAAAAGCAGAGCGAAAGGAAGCAGAGTTTTAGAGTAAGTAATTTGAGATGCAACAGAAGAAATGAATGAATAAGCGACCAGAGATCCTCCTGTTCCATCTGGACCTCTGTGGCCATCAGCGTTCAGTTAGTGAGTGAGTCAGTGACATCCACTGTGGTTTTCCCACAGGCCTTCTGGTGAAAAGGAAAATGTGAGAGGAGACGAGATAGAAGCTCCATGCCTCAGAGGATGGAGAACTACTGCAGAGGAAAGTTAATTGGGGATGCAAAAGAGCAGTGAGAGGAAGGGATACATCTTTGTGACTTTGTTTTTTGTTTTTCACCTCAGTGACCCATGAGGCTGCAGTACAAAATCTTACAAAACAAGACACATTT